ACTGAGATCTGAGGATTGCAGTTCAAAGCCAGCCCAGGCAGGAGAGACTGTGAGACTCCTATCTCCAATAAACCACCAGAAAACCAGAAGTGGCGCTGTAGCTCAAGTGGTACAGCACTCGCCTTGAGCTGAAGAGCTGAGGGACAGCATCTAGGCCCAGAGTTCAAGCCCCACGACCGACAAAAAAAAAAGAAAAGTGACAAATATATATCAAACTATAAGAAAGCCAGGGTACTGTTGTAGAAATAGGAAATAAAATAAATGCATGATTAGTACATACTATACAGTGGATTTATCCAAAATTTTTGATTTGTACCATTTTTTAATTACACAAACAAAATTGCATCTGTGTTGCATATTCACACTTATTATAAATCTGGCTTTAAAAAGATCCCTAGGGATGAAGTCCCATCTGTTCTTTGACTCTCCAGTCAGTGAGCTCACATCTTGGTTGCAGTCAGTCTTCTCGAAGAACAAAGGGAATGCTGCCACCTCAGACAGCAGCACACTGTGAGCTCCTTGCACAGAGGAGGCACAGCTCCTCACAATGTCTGGACCATGCTGCTAGGGACAGTCAAAGCAACAGTGTGTCATCACCTTCACCAGCATAACCAGTCCTCCTTGCTGGTCCTCAGGGCACTAGGCATGGCAGCAAAGTGATGGCACTATTTCCAGGCAAACAACCATCATGGACTTTTCTTTGGGCAGGCCAAAACTAGAGGTTTAAGGGATCTCTGTGTCCATGGCATAAATCTGAATGAGATCAGACACAATGTTATCAATGATTGGCTTGGTAAGGTCTTCACTAAACACCTGCCACCATGGCTTCTCGGCCTCCTCCTCAGCAGGGACTTCTACTCCATAGACCTGTAGGGCCAGGTAGAGCACAGCCACGGCCAGGTGCTGAGGCTGGAAGCGAAGGCACAGCCCCCCGTGGTAGCTGTCCCGCAGCAAGGCCCAGGCCACGATGGCAACAGGAGTCCGCTGCCAGCTGTACCGATTCAGCCAGTGTTTGAGGGCCATCAGATAGTGGAGCAGGTACTTGTGCGGGTGCTGGAAGGAGACCTGGAAGCGCAGGGCCCTCAGCACAAGGAGCTCACACTGCACAACGCTATCCCGGAGCTCCCAGAAGCGCGAGTCCAGCTCCAAGGGCTCGCTGCCTGGGTGGAAGTAGCTGTTGGATACATTGATGATGTCTCTGATTCGCAGATGCTGCTCCTCCACCTTGCCCGCCAAGTAAATGGATGACATGGCGACGAGGTAAGGGTCATAAGCCTCCAGGCTGATCTCGCGAAAGAACTTATGGTAGATGGTGCAGGCAGTGGCGATGGGAATGGAGCGCATAGCTAGCTTGACACCTGCCTCCATGATGAACCTTGTCACTCGGAAGTGCACCCTGGGCTCCGACCCTGCCACCCCTCCAGAGGTATCTGAGTGAGGGGTCTCCATGAGGCCACCACGCAGCCCCAGGACTCCCTTCCAAAAAGCAGCAGCAGCAAGGCCAGTTCCAGGGGTTCTTAAAGGCTCTCTGCTGTCACTGCACTGACGTAAGCCACATCAAGGCAGAATCTTTAACTGTTTTTTTTCAGAGCAGTGCTGGGAACTAAACCCAGGGTTGAGATAGATTAGGCAAATGTTCTACCACTGAGCCACATCCCTAGCCCAGTGCTTTACAGTTAAAAGACATTAACATTTAAAAAGACAAAAAGCTTATACCCTTTAAATGAATAATTCTGCTTCCAAAAAAGTAAGGAGTTTATCCTAAAGTGCTAAAATTTCATATACAGAGATGTGAGAGCAAATACTGGAACCAATCTAAATGCCACAATACAGGAAAAATGAAAGATTTATTATAAAAGAAGCAGTCTGTTAATGTAGGCATAAAATAGCTACAATTGGTAATGGTACATGGCATTCTAATGCTCCTTTCCTTTCCTGTTAAAGCTACCAAGAAGCTATAATGTTTCTGTTATAGAAACAAAAATATGAAGACAGGTGAAAAATGGGCTCAGGAAAAAAAAAAGGAAATACACAGCAGTGTTAATAGCATCAGCCCTCAATCAAGTCTTTCATCCTGTGACACACTCACTCACTTCCTGATAGAGTTTCTGGCACTCAGGATGAAAGCGCAGAGCACGAAGAAAGAGCTGTCTTGCACTTTCAGAAGACAAGCGATCTTCCATTTCCCATTTGGCTGCCATAATCCACAAAGCTGTAAGAGAAAACACATGAAACATCATTCATAAATTAATCAAGTTAGGCAAAGAAACACCAATGCTCCCATTGGTGTGGAGGAGGGGCAAAATTTTACTCTAGAGTTGTTTTGTTTTTTTTTTTTGGTCAGTCATGGAGCCTGAACTCTGGGCCTGGGTGCTGTCCCTGAGCTCTTCAGCTCAAGGCTAGTGCTCTACCAGTTGAGCCACAGTGCCACTTCTGGCTTTTTCTGCTTATGTGGTGCAGAGGAATGAACCGAGGGCCTCATGCATGCAAGGCAAGCACTCTGCCACTGAGCCACCTTCCCAGCCACCACTTTGGAGTTTTCTAAGCAAATAGGTAAATGTAAACATGTTCATTCTAAATGATGGAGATGTAAATGCCTATTACTGTATTTTATCAGATCTAAAGCCAACATACATTTTTTAAATTTAACAACAATGTTGATTCTTCTAGTTTTACTATTTGTTTCTTATAAAAACACAAAAACTAAGACTCTATATATTGAAATCTCAAATAATTTTAATCCTCTTGTCTCTTGCTCTTCTCATGTCTTTTTGTTTTTGGTCAGTCATGAGGCTTAAACTCGGCCTAGTCACTATCCCTGTACTCTTTTGTTCAAGGCTAGCACTCTACCACTGTGAGCCAGAGCTCCACTTCTGGTTTTCTGGTGGTTAATTGGAGATAACAGTCTTGTGGACTTTTCTGCCTGGGCTGGCTTTAAACTAGCCTCAGTCTCCTGAGTAGCTAGGATTATAGTCATGAGCCATAGCTCCCTACAACATTCCATATTCTTTCAATTTTTTTTTAACCTTTTTTTGCCAGGGTCTAGGCACTGTCCTTGATCTTTTCTCTTTTTTTTTTGCTCAAGGCTAGCACTCTACCACTTGAGCAACAGTGTACTTCTGGCTTTTTCTGTTTATGTGGTGGTACTGAGGAATTGAACCCAGGGCTTCATGCATGCTAGGCAAGCAATCTACCACTAAGCCACATTCCCAGCCCCTCAAATTTTAATTCTATTAGTTCATAAATGCTGGTGCTAGCTGGGCACTGGTGGCTCATGCCTGTAATCCTAACTACTCAGGAGGCTGAGATCTGAGAATCACAGCACAAAGCTAGCTGGGACAGGACTCTTATCTCCAATTAACCACCAGAAAACCAGAAGTGGCACTGTGGCACTTGCCTTGAGCTGAAGAGCTAAGGGACAGAGTCCAGGCCTAGAGTTCAAGCCCCACGACCGACCAAAAAATAAAAACAAAAAATAAATGCTGGCTGTTAGTGGCTCATGTCTGTAATCCTAGCTACCCAAGAGGCTAAGATCTGATGATGACAGTTCAAAATTAGCTCAGGCAGAAAAGTTCCCTTAATACTCTTATCTCTACTTAACCACTCAAAAACTGGAAGTGGTGCTGTGGCTAAAGTAATAGGGCACTAGCCTTGAGCTGAAGAGCTCCAGGCAGTGCTCAAGACCAGAGTGCAAGCCCCATGATCGACCCAAAAAATAAAAAAATAAAAACAAGAATCTCTAAATTTGTCTGGCTTTGAGCTATAATCCTCAGATCTCTTAGCAAAGATTACAGGCCTGAGCCACCAGCTCCAGCCTCCTCGTATTTCACTGCCTCCAACAAAAAATGGCCTTCCAAGGAATGATCTATTTATTTTCCAAAAGCCAAATGAACTAATAATCCTTTTTGTCTATAGATACAAATACCTGGTCAAGTATCTAGTGGCTTGCAGTAAGTAGGGATGAGCTAACAGGCAGCTATCCAGGAACAGAAACTACCAAGACAAATTATCTAAGCTCAAACCCACCAAAAATATTGTGTAAGTTCAAATCCTCTTGGGCTTCTCAAGTAAGATAATTCCAAATGGCTTGAATCTAGAAAAAAGAACTCATAAGAATTTCACCATACCTGGCTTGTTTGAATGAATGGCCAACATGGCAGAGAATATCTTGCTAAGTTGAGCTTTAGTACCCTGTAAAAGATAGAGAAAAATTTCTACTTCCTGTACAGTGAAATCATTGCTATTAATCTGTAAGGAACATGGACTGTGCCCACCATGACTACAAGCTGGAGTTTGGCTCAAGTAGTAGAGTCCCAGTATACTCACACCCCCCACAACCCCTGCAAAAAAAAAAAAAAAAAAAAGAATCCAATAATGAGCAAGATCTGCTATTGTTCAGGACACACCAATAAAAGCAGACATACTTGTAGTGTTCTTCTACCTAAATCACTAAACATGTCTATTATTTTTAAATTTTTTCAATTTTACTGAACAAATATGTGTAAAAATGATTTTTCTTTTCAAATGACTTGAGTCTTTTATATAGTCACTCAGGTATATCAATGTTATGCTCAAGTTCAGCCTCAGCCTTCTTGGGTTCCTTTCCCATTCTTAGACAACAGCTTTGGGAAAACATGGAGTTCAGTAATGAAGCCGCTTAAAAGGTTTTAAGACTAACAGAAACAAAAGGGAAAGAAGACATAGTTGTACTCACCCATTTCTTACAAAAAACTACATAGGACAGCCAAAGCTGTACATCATCCTGCAAGAAAAGCACTCTGGTAAGCTGCCTCGCCTTGACTTTATATGTAATAAACCTTCGCAATAATTTAGTTTGTTGACAACATAAGCCAAGTTCCAGAAGATCCCATTACCATGTGCCTATGAGAATCTTCCTCAGTGAGTGTAACCACAGTAACTTAATCGGACTCTCCACTCCCATCCACCATCCCCAAGACAAATCTGTTGTCTACCCAATTTGTTCAGTGCAGGTCTGAAAAGATCCCAATTAGGTACAGTAAGAAAACCCGAGGTTCCTAGAAATCTAAAAGATTTCCCCTATAAGGGGGGTGACAGTGACCAAGAAGCATTGCTATTAACCTGACTTGGGAAATTGTAACTCTTGTATAACTACTTAATAAACAAATGAAAAAAATGAAACAAAAGAAAATTAAAATTCAAAAAAAAATTCCACTTCCAAGTGAGACTTAAAGAACATAGTTACTAAGGTACTATGCCTGCCTAATCATTCCCAGTCTTCAGTGTACTTCCCTTCTCAGAGATACCCAAGGGTCTACCAGGGACTCCCTAAACCTTAATCATGTGCCAAACACACTGTTCTCAGCACCAACATCACAAAATAACAATAAGGTTATGAGCTTGATTTTCTTCACAGTCTATGTGGCTTAAAAAATGTTCCAAAGCCAGGCACTAGTAGCTCAAGCCTGTAATCCTAGCTAATCAGGAGGCTAAAATCTGAGGACTGTGGTTCGAAGCCTGCCCAGGCTTGAAAATCTGAGATTCTTATCTCTATTAAACTACAAAATAAGCTACAAGTTGAGCTATGGTTTGAGTGCTAAAGAGCTAGCCTTGAGCAAAAGAAGCTCAGGGACAGCGCCCAGGCCCTGAGTTTCACCTCCAGGACCAACAAACACAAAAAAAAGTTCCAAGCAATGACACAATCATTCAAATAGGTATTAAGATACCTAAGATGGGAACAGAAAATAATACATTTGGATATCCAAGTCATCATACATACAATACACATTTTCATATTTATAAAGGATGCTGTGATCACTTACTTTCCACTTTGCTGAAGCACGCCCAAAGACCCCATGTATCCGTTGCACAATTGAATGTTCAATCTCATCCTTCTTAAATGAATATCTGATGCGCTAAAAGGGGACAAGAGTTAAATTCCCAGTACCAAAAATAAAAATAAAAAATAAAGTGTAATATGAAACAGTCAGTTTAATGATATTTATCCAAAATAGCCTTCCCACTTGTTCATTTAACTGTATTGGCAATGGCTAAAAGCATGGCTCATATGATAGACCACCTGCCTAGTAATCATCAAACCTCAGCAACACACACACAAAAAAAAATTGTACTTTTTAAATTAAAAAAAAAAAGTAGGGCTGGGAGTGGCTCAGTGGTAGAGCGCTTGCCTTGCATGCATGAGGCCCTGGGTTTGATTCCTCAGCACCACATAAGAAAAAAGAAAAAAAAGCCGGAAGTGGCACTATGGCTCAAGTGGTAGAGCGCTAGCCTTGAGCTGAAGAGCTGAGGGACAGCACCCAGGCCCAGAGTTCAGGCCCTACAACCAGACCCCCCCCCAAAAAAAAAAAAAGTAGGGCTGGGATGTAGCTCAGTGGCAAAGTGCTTGCCTAGCAAGTGCAACTTCCTGGGTTTGATCCCCAATACCAAAAAGACAAAAAAAATACAATTAAAAAAAAAGTACTAACAAAGAAAGCAAATTATTACAAATAACCATTATGAGCTCCATGCAGTTTAATAAGTCTCTCAAATAAGTCCTAGTTATGGAGCCACCAATTTACTTATATATTTTTCTAACTTCTAA